ATTATTGAGTGAGTGATGTTCATGAACTCGTTACGCGAAAAGATCATTGGAAAATATTTTAAAAAATTTCTTAGTTTAAATATTTGTACATTAGCTGCTGATTCCAGTGTTTGATAAACAATATATTTTCTACTTTGAGTACATCAGTCGTATATTTGATTCTAATTCATTACTATACTGTATTCAGAGTGTATAAAGTATTATTTTTGGGATAAAAGTCATGCTATTAGGTTGTATCCAGTTTGTTATGATTTCATTATTTTTATTATTTGACGAAATTCGCGATCAGTTTAACGGTTTACTATCAAAAATAACATTCACAACACTAATAATACTAGGTCAGAGAGTGTTGAGTAATATCAGATTTGATGAATATATCGAAATAAACAACAAATTTCAATATTAAACACAGACAACCTGTAAAGTAAGTTTGTTCACCGATTATAAACTTGTCTTCTTGGTTTTTAATTTGCTGTAATTTATCAGCTGTAACTTACTAAAGAGATAGTCGTCGAGATGAAGAATAGTGTGAATAGGAGTTTTCGTGATCACGATCTGAGCTCATAAGTATTAGTTCTCATATTTACTTCTCATATCGGCGATTATGGATGTTGCTGTCATGCTTAGCTTCTCTAGGTTATTTAGAAACCAAGTATATTTGTTGTCATCTTGTTTATGATCATTGAATATACATGGAAGCTATCTCATAAAATTTTTAAACTGTGTTAAAGATTCCAATCGAATACAAAGTTTTCGTTAAGGTGGCTGCACAGAGACTTTTTTTAATTCGATACCATTCATCACGGATCGATGCCATCTAAAAACTCATCAAAAGGCACCAACTAATAACTAGTGTTTTCGTTCTAGTCTAGCAATTTCTAGACATGTATAGCGCTATCCACCACAGTGAATAACCCAGAATTTTAAACTATCACAGCGAAAACAGTAACTTTTGATTGCTGAGTTGAACTCTGGAAACATAATCTACTGTATCTATGGAGTTATTATGATGTGCTTTCTGTGTTCATTGGTATCCGTCGAAAAGTCATTGTCTTACATTGGAATTCAGTTGTTCCAAATATAGTTTAACAAAGTTGCATTTCTATCACATTGCAAATTAATACACAACACCTACTCAGTTTATTACTCTAATGATGTCAGTCAGTCAGTCACAACGTAGAACTTCGTAAGTAAGTACATCAGTTCATGTTACCATACCACATTAGCACAGAGACGCAATTGTCAATTCAAATCCCATAGTAGTATAGATAGTAGAAGAACGAGCGGCAGTCCTCTATCGAACCTCTCCACCGGTGGCTGATGGCAATGTGATCTAGTTGGGACGACTTTGGGTGTCGCCAGGTCAAGTTATGTTTTTCTTTGTGCCTAAAGTTTAGGCGGTTATCTGAGCATAGTTGCTGCAGACGGTCGCGATTATCTGTTCAATCAGCTGCGATACCACAAGGTCCATCAGGATGTCTTTCCTTTTCACTCAGTTTACCTACTTGAGTATGGAATTCACCAGCCATTATTACTGTATCAGAGCGCCTAACGTTTTGGAGGAGGTCTGACAGCTTTCTGTAAAATTCATCTTTCACATCGTCTGAACTGCAGTCAATGGAAGCGTAGGCAGATAACGACGAAGAGGCAACGTGAAGTGTCCCTATCCTTCCGAGTTGTAACTGTCCCGTTTAGTCGGACAGCGCGCAAGCGACTATCAAGTCTAGTAGAGCTAGTTCAACCCTACAACTCGATGCTATACGTACACCGGCGAGACTCCGGGAAGCAGCATCAGGACTTCCAGATACACGAAGGGTTAACCGAGTTGCTTCCTTATCTTGAAATGGTGAGGTCAAGTGAATGAGGCTACTCGGATCCTGTATGCGCTTTTCCGAGACGCAGCATGCATCGATGGCGCTAGATTCTAAAGTCCTAGCTAAGAAAGCCTATTGCCATATTTGACACAATTTCCGTACATTAAATGCTCCAACATGTAGTCTAGAGCGGGGTTTCAGGAGACCAAAAATGACGTTCCGTGAACTCGCATCGTTTGCATTAGCTGTGCACTGTGATAAAGGAATGTGAGAAGAGTTAGTCGTGGAGATAAGAGTGGTACTAGGGGGTGTAGGAAGGATTTGATTTTGACCAATTCGGTCTCGTGTGCTGTTACGGGTATGAGGGCGGTTGTCACTTCCCGGCTGCCCACAACGTGAAAGGGTGTTTCTAGAGGAACCTGAAAAGGAAGATAGATTAGTGTTCGTTTCAGATACCTGGAAGCGCGACCGCAGAGTCCAAGGGACAACTGCTTGAGGTCGGTCACTCACGGCATTTTTATGAGAAGTTTTTGAGTATTAGCTCCGCTATTGAAAGCCCTTAGTGGGCACCCTTACGCAAGGAGACGGAAATCCGTGAGGTAGGGTGAGGTGTAACATTTTTATTTTCGACCTTTTCTAACCCTTCCTTCCTTGTGAGAAGGCAGCATCGCTGCAGATGCTGGTTGTCCGAGGGAAACACCTTACTGTTGTCACACCCCTCTGCAGTCAGCAGTACGACTTCGTCCTCAGACCTTGAGTAGCTGGTTTTAGTCTCATCGTTGTCCAATCGACCTGCCTGGCATGGTAGAACCTTCAGGAACATGTTTTCCAGCCAATATAGCTCAGTTGGGTCATCGCGATAAGCAAACCTGACCAACACGTCAAGGTAGCAGCTATGTTCGTGACTGAAATCATGAATCATTCATTGCTACACCACCAATAGTATGGGACTCAATGGCAGAGCTCATCCACAACTCCTGCTACTCGCAGGATTTTAGCCCAAGACCTTCGGTCTTGCGCGCCAACGCCTAACCTTCGAACCACTTAATTTATTGGTTATGTAGTTAACATTCACTTCATGTTAAAAATTACTTTAAATAACAATTTTACTTACATGCATCATAGTTGTTCTTATGCGAATCGATCGAATAGATGAGATTTTGAATAAGAGAAACGCTAAAATATTTTTTCGAAACTAATTCTATGATTTAAACCTTCATGTAGTATCAAATTCATCAAAAGCACGATATATAATATATGGCATTTAGTATGTCTCAGTACCAAGGTTTCCCTTGATAGTTACAAATAAATTGAGCATTGAATGGGAAGTTAATAATATAAGATAAATTTAATTTTTGGTGATATCCAAATACGTACAAAAACACAGGGTAAAACACTTTCGATTTCACTTATAGATACAATCTATCTATTCAAAATTTACATTTATTTCTTTTTATCCAATACTCAATTTCAAAATGAGTAAGAAAATGATTGAATTTCAAATAGGTAGTGAACATTTGAAGGCCAACCTGCGAATATGCAGACTAAAATATCTCCCTAAAATCAAGTCCGAAGATGAAAGACTTTGCACACCTATAAAATAAACTAAAACCAAACTAGCTCAAGTCAGTTATTTAGAGTTTACATAAATGAGGTCTAAGCAAGCAATAAAACTGATCACTAAAACTACAATCAGTTTTAGATATACTACAAACTTCAGTGATTATTTATGCAAACTCGTTGGAAGTAATAGTGCTTTAAAATACAACTAACTTATGGCATTATCTGTTCAATTAGTCTTATATAGTTCAGTGCCATGACTTATGATTAAGACCATCTGATCAGTCAGTTTGATAAATACCTCCAGTAATTAGGCGCCTAACACTAATGGTGTAATGATTTTCATGTGAGTGCACTTCATTTTACTGCCTGGAAAATCATGTCATATCGCTTAGTTTCAAACTACTTATTTCAAAAATCTAGTATAAAAAAATCTGTTTACTCGCTAACAAACAATACGATTCTAAAATGATTTCACATACAAATTCTTACATAAACGACCACTTGGGTAAATATTTGTATAAAGGCCATTTTACAGTCTATACAATAGTGAGTCAGAATAGTGATTTCCTGAAATGGTGTTTCATACAATGCAAATTTACCTAGCTTGATGTTTGACTGTTCGTTTGATATAGTGTTTTTACTCAAAAATAATCAACTATTAACAAGTCAATATCAATGATCCCTACAAGTTGAAATTAATCACATTTGCCATTATTGTTGTACATCTTAGAATTATTTAATAGCTCTTAAATATTATGGTTGGTGTGATTTACACCCGGAATGTATTGATCACAAATATGCAGTGAAAACAATTTTCTGATTATTTGTCTTATAAACATTTTATCAGTTGAACATCATCCATAATTCTTTCACATTTATTATCGTCTATTAATCCTTATAGATGACAACATTCCTGATATTTTGATATAAGGTATTGTTACGTATGCACGTGACCACATCAGACTGATATGCTTGAACTAGTACGGGGTTACCCCAGTCGGAAAACGAGAGCGAGAATCGATGATCCGGAAACATGACAGGCTATTCTAATACGAGTGTCCCGAACCCCCATTGAGTAGAAGAAGACTTGATATGAAGTAGAACATGTATTCTACAAGCATCCAGAAAGTACGAGGTCCAAGTCCAGAAGAGGATAGGGACCCCGGACTAAGGATTCGGGTCATAAAACGTTACAGATAATGCATAATTATATATAGTTAGGTCGAATAGGAAACAACATTGAAGTATGTGACATTAATAGTTAGGACGACCAATAGAATTAGACTTACAAATAATTCTCTTAGGATATTAGATAAATATCCTAACAGGTATGTATACTGATTTTGCTAATTAACAATAATATATTTAGGTTGTATTCAGTTGATGATAAACCGAGAAACAAAATGTATGTTCATGCCTAACAGATATTTAACGGTAAAACACGTTCTTGTTTCCGACTAATGTTACTGTTCACTTCGTAAATTGTTATTGAAAAGTAATTGAATTAATAGTTTCCAGGTATACACTTGTGGTACATGGTTTTATTGAATTGATTCATTCAAAGTCGATTCAAAAAAATTCGATTTTAAAAACAAAAAATGCATTTTACTGATGTTGACTTACATTAGACTGAAGTTTTTTGAGATCATTTAGCGTATTGACAGCGGTTTTCGCATCAAAATTATGACGGTCAACAAACAAGCACGAATCCTACTTGAGAAAATTAAACAAAAAGTAGTAAAATGATAACTGTTTGGACATGAAAAAACTTCATTTCTCCTGATAAAGCCAACAGTTAGTCAACAGCATGTGATCCGATGTTTCTACAGTGTTACAAAAGAATGGAAATGCATATTGACTGATGCTTGTGTCTCACGTGCAACATATTCTTGACTTGGAACAACTGGTGTTCAATACTATCTCCTGCTTTTGTACTATGTTTGACTTGTCATCAAGCACCTGGGACAATTTTCTGTCTTCAGAACAAGATTCTGTCTTGAAATTTAACAGAAGATATATAGAACACCAAACGATTTCTAAGTATTTTAATAATACAAAAAAAATTTTAATCTTGAAAATACTCCACAAAATTACAGACGTGGAGTTTGATAATCTTGGGGAATATTAAAATCAATTCAGTGTTGCACGTAATTCTAAATGCCTCAAAATTATCTTGTACAGCGTTTATATTGTTTTATGTATCACCTTAAATGAGTTTTAAACTTGCAGGCATAAGTTTGCATCTCTTTCTCCATAATTTATAAAGGAAGCCATCTCCCTTTGAATAAAAGAATTACCTTGTTAGTGAATAGGCTTATCCAGTTCATTATCAAAAAACGGGTAACAAATTGTTAACTGACGGTATCGTTACAAACCTGGGACTTCTGGAAGTGTTGACCATTTCAGAAACTTCTGCTAATGTCCTCGGTATTCACACTCAAGACAAAGCACAACTTTTTGGTCTGTCACCATTGAATGAATGTTTAAACTCAGAAACCATGCGTCAATATATAAAACTCTCACATGCCTATATTTTGTTCACTACTTTGGAGACTATATGCCTATAGCCTTCTTAAGTTCGAAAGAGAGTTATAGGTGGCACCATACTACTCCACAGACACGTACAAAAATTGCATGGGTATCACCATACCACACTACCAAAAACCAAACCGACCACATCTGCATCAACAAAGGGTTCAGAAGTACCATGAAAGGTATGACAATAAAGAAAGGCACTGATAGCTTCAGGTCACTTTGAAGAGGAACCTTAGGCTAAAGAAGCACTGAAAAACTGCAGAAAAAGCATTATAAAAGTCGTACACGACTTTTCTTCGGGAGACTGGCAAACTGAGGGAGTTCAAGATAGCTCTCAGTAATCAGGAACTGACGTTCCCACAATATCTACTAAAAGAAATTGAAACTACTATAAAGAGCAACCATAAAGGGATTCGAGAAACAATCGACTCAACACGTCAGAAGGTGCTGAGCCAAAACCAAGCGACATCACACGGAAAGGATCTCCTCTGAAATACTATGAAAGATTTAAAAGAAGGACAAGAAGACAGTAATCAACAGCAGCACAATAAGTACAGAGAAAGCAAGGTAGAGAGCGGATAAACGGAAGCAACCAAACGAGTGGAAATGAGCAATGGAACTAATAAATGGAAATATATTGAAGACCTAGCAGCAAAAGTGGGATGCAAATCATCCCTATACAACAACTTCCTCGACAATGAAGAAACATTTGAGGATGTGCACAAGATTACACAAAGAAGTCTTCATTGACACCATAGTGTACTCGGTAAAATGTTCACCGTCATACGAGATTCTTACAATGAACTTCACTGCAAAGTCTTGAATGGAAGACAACTCACTGCTGCATTTTAAGTAAAGACCGGTGTCAGACCAGGTTGCTTACTCTTGCCCTTTCTTTTCCATCTGTTGGTTGCTTATCCTCAGACAATCGAGTAAGCAATGCAATTGTTAGGAAACTAGGTATGATGGCAAATCAGTTGATGAAGTGTTGAATCTTCATCAACTGAGACGATTAGGATGCCGCTGGATGATTTGGACATTGCAATTCAACTAACTCTTCCACCACACACACACACACAGACCATCGGGGCTGTAGGAAGTCAATAATGGGTAATTGCAACTTAGGTGACTTAAAAATCATTTCCCCCGGTAGCGAAAAATTCTTTCTTTCATGATGCTGGTTTACTGTCACCATGAAGGCCGGGAAATCATAGAATGTTTTAAAACAAAGTATATGAGAAACTGTCATATGTCAGCAGTATGTGGTATTTGGTCTTCGGATAGGAAATATACCATCTTATTTGATTTAAACAGCCTACTTTGGAGCAGTACATTACTTAGGATGATAAACAATAACGGCTAGCTACATCATTTTGCGCTTGTGTGTCCTGGTTCAACTACTGATTCATTTTCACATTCATGCTGATCCACTTATGCGAGTAGTCCGCTTTTGTCACAGTAATTACTGAGCTTATGGACAGAAAAATAAAACTCTTTTGTCATGGATACTAATCGAAGTTGAAGATTTCTGATCTGCAAAAGACACTGTGATACACTTCAGCTTTGCTTATATATATTATACTGATAAACAACTTTGTACTCGTAAGAATTTTCCCATGAAACGTTAGATTGTTAATTACGTATGTAAATATGAGCAACTTATTTACGCCTTATCCCCTCAAGTCGGTATCTTCAAACTTCTAGCAATACTGCTGCAATTTTTTTAAGCCAAATTTTCTCATCTTGTTAAAATAAACAAACTCAACCACAAATTTACCTGGCTGAGGTAAAATCCGAAAATTGGAAGATATTTGAGGTTTTTATGGAGCACAAATCTTGTCCTTCCCAAACCACCCTGATGCGAAATGAGCATAGAACAGACAAACCAATCGACTTTATAAGTAATTACAAAAACGTAAATTGTATTTACCTTTAGATAAATGGTTTGATATGAACAAAACTTTCTCATTTTTCCTTTTAATAAAGTCAACATCACCATAAACATGTATCTTGAATTTAAAGATGTTAAAATTTTATACCTTTCTAACGTTCATGTACCCGAATATAAATAAAAACGTTCGCATAAAAAATGCGAACATAATTTCATTTAAATATCTATATGCCTGCTGGGAATGCAAAGTAAGCAACCTGACAGAAAGCCATAGAACCAAAACTGTTGGAGTTAATAAAAGAATTGTGAATCCAAAGTATTGTTTTAGGTAGTTATTCATATGAACTCAATTACAGCAGTATCACAGAAATTCGTATAAGTTTCATGCTGACACAATTCTCAAGGTCGTCTAAACAGCTTTTCTAACATTCAATAACTTTTACATTAACCATGTTAAACCAATTGATTATTTTACGCTCGATTCTTGTGCCTTCAGTACAATTTCACACATTCGGTAGTGTTCGATGGATGGTATTTTGTCCACTCGACTGCACTAGTTCCAGTCAGCTAACAGTTATTAATGAACTTGTGTGCCATGATTTAAATAAGTGCGTTCGATTCCGGGCAGTGGGGTTTTCGGATATCACTAGCTGTTTCTTTTCCGGTTAGCTTCAGTTTGGAGAATAATAATAAGATTATTCCAATCCTAATGAGATCTCAGAACTAAATAAATAGACGGATGAACCAGTCAATTCATAGGTGGTGGAGATAATGCTAAAGGATGGAAGTGTCTGTGAAGTAGAAGAAACAGAGATATGAAGCAAGATGGAATAAGTTGGTGGTCCTAATAAATGGCTGTGATGACAATTAGTGAGTTTCGAAACACCCATCAACAAAGTTGGTCCAAGAGGGAGATGATAATCAGTATTTGATATAGATGTAGATGAGAGGGCTGCGGTCACCTTGGCTTGGAGAGAATCCCAGGTTGAAAGAGCTGTCACTGAGAATCTGCGTGTTCGCTTTGATATGAAATTTTTTGATGGTTACTTCCAGGGACGCTTTGGTGATACTTTGGTAAAATACTCGTCTTCGGATGATCCGGTGTACACTATATGGTGTACGCCGTTACCAAAACACTTCTGATTTTCCTATAACTCGGCTAGAAGAATTCCAAGTGTTGGAGTCCGTCTTCGTAAGGCTTATTCTTCAACTTTATCACTCATTTAGTTCCGGTCTCCGCACTCTATCCCGGTTATTTAGTCTCTGTTGAGGAAATGGGATGAGACTACGTTGTGAAATTTGATGTATGGAGGTGGTAAATTCTAAAGGGATCTGAGGACGAATGAGGGTCAATAGCACCAGGAATTGTCCAGAGAAATGGTTTAGGTCCACGTCTGTTTTTTACTTATATAAACGATATTTATACAACTATCAAGATTTGAATACCATATGTATATGCGAATCATCTCAAAGTAGTCTACAGATTTAAGCTTGAAGTTGTAAGCTAAAAAAGTAATCCAAATTCAAAGTTATCTTCACAACTTACCTGCCTGTATCGAAACGTGGCACCTGCCACGTGACATCATACAATCTCATAAAAACCACAACGAAATAGCACTATACTTACAAAAATGTAGTGCCCATACTCTCATATCGGTGCATGATGTGGCCATTCATTATTCAGGAAGCCTAGACGGGTTATGGAGATCATAAATAAGAACTTCAAAAATTAGGTACAGTTTACGCTCTTCATAACTTGTATAAGGGCTACTGTTGAATACTGCTCATTTATCTTTTCAAACATGAACTCCATAGACGAGAAACCAGTAGAAAATGTCCAAAGAAGCTTCACCTCAATGTTAATTACCGTGGCTGTAATGTACGAAAGTCACCGAAATTAACGATAAACGTAGCTTGTTGACATCTCTGACTCACACATGGGCCTCGAATAATGATAAAACTAACTAAAGCTGAAGGCTTCTTAGTGTCTGTAGCTGAAAAAGTAACGAAAAGACTAATGTCTCCCTACATTGCAGTTGCAGTTGACCACCCAACCCTAACTGAGCAACTTGATATGTGCCTTCAAGGGGATGGTACGCTAAACGTCAGATGCTAATTCATCCTCCTTAACGAAATTCAGATAAATCTACAAGCACCCTCATTCTCAAATTCGGTAGCCGTAAAGCCACCGAAAAATTTTATTCACTAAGGCAGAAATATCAGCCCATCAATCAGCTATAAAATAAATCCTGATTTTAGAGGCGGTCACAAAAAGTAACAATTATATGATGAAATGTTTGTCATATGAAGCATGCCAGTTTACAGACACGATCATTTCGTCCCAAATACTTACACATTTACTGTAATAGATTTCTCCGTCAGGTTGATACTTTACAAAAGAAATCAGCCATTATCATAGAGTGCTGATATTTTCCAAATAAAGCTGTAAATAATGTTTAAAAGACTGGAATCTGTGACACATTAGCTGGTGCGAATCATCTCGTTTGCGTTGCTACGAACCACTGGTGGTCGAGAACTGTTGCAAGTTACGTCTAGACTTGCATACGAGGAGAATCGGTAAGGTAAATGAGTAATAATCATCTTGATAGCATTATTCAGATAACGATTTAACAGGTCTCCGTTAAAAAGTTATGTAAGTCTGTAGAAACATTCGGGACACTACTAAACAGGCGGGATGAACTGGTTTCTTTCGCATGTGATTCCAATAATGCCTCACAACGTTTCTGAAAATGGAAAGGAAAAAGTGAGAAGTATGACGAAACGCTGAAGATCAATTATGACGCAACAGATGCAGTTGTGCATAAACCTTTAGGGTATAATTACTTAGACCTTTCTCTCCTTCTTTTGTATTACTTATTTCATAATTGTATTTATGCAGGTTAGAGCATACATATTACTAGTAAGGCAGATAACGGGCAGATGGCTGAATAAATACAGGAGATTCAAAAAAGTAACTTTTCAGAATTATGTAGATCTGCAGATTGTAATACGGAAGGCAAAGTTATTTGAGGCAGTAGTAATAGTTCCTTTTTCTAATACTTAAGAAGCCAGAGGTGAACATTTCAACGTTGTAGCTTGGGTCGGCTTGTAGCCGGATTTATTATTAGGAAGTTTACAAGCATGAGTCGAAGACAGGGTTAACATGGCAAGGTTACACCAATATCATTAGATAGTTGCATTCCTCTAGATCTTAATAATAATAATAATAATAATTTATTCTCAAATAACTACGTTACAAGAGTCACGCCAGTTTACAGGCTAGATCAAATTGTCACAAATGCTTTCACAATTACTGTAAAAGTTATAGCAGTTAAAATAAGTATGAGTCAGTTTCTGGTTGCATATTTACACCATGTCACTGACAGAAACAGTATTGTACAGCCTCATTTTCAATAGTAGAGTACAAATAAGGAAGGAAGGTGCACAATAGGTTCTTTTGGCGATTTGCCGAGACCAATAGTGAATTTGTTGTGTAAGGTCATATGAAAAACCGATGGTTTTTTAAACATGAAGGAAACTCCGTACGTGATGGGTAGGAGCATAAGGGCTTGACCTACTATGGATAGTGGAAGAGGGGAATCAATGGTTTATCATTTGGTGATACTCGTGTGAATGACGAAGTATGTTCTGAGTTTGTTAACAGAGTCTGACTGCCTCGAGAGTTGGTGAAAGTCCTGGAAACAGCTGACCAGTCTCCCCATCGACCAATAACTGCGGTACTAAATACTCGTACCTATACCGTGTTGTCAAAAAAATGAAACGCATTTAGTTGTTGTCACAGATATGACGTCTGTTGCGGAAGTAGTTCAACCTCTAGTTGTTGCATGAGAGAGTTTATACATCGATAGAGATTAAACCCCATAAATATATGTGATATGGTGTCAACTTTAGCTGGTTAACGTTTTTCTAGCTGATAAACAGTGAGTTTTACTGGTACTTTCATCAAGGAGAACACAGGTTGTGACAACACGGAGTGTAGCTCCCTACCTACATCCATGATAATGATATGAATTTTTGTCACCCCTGCGGGAAATTAAAAAGCTTTACCTTGTGTCTGTGAGAGATTGGCTTGGCTTCCTACACTGATTATTTGCCGAAATGATTGTGTCGCTAGTCCCACAGTTAGACTAAAAAGTTTCGAAATCGCGTACTGAATAAAGATTTGATAAGAAAATAAACTGAAATCACCTGTGACAAGAAAAACAACACCAAAAAAAACAATTATCAGCCAATTTATCGAGGGAGTGTTTTTGTTGTTAGTTTAACATATATCGGTCAATTTTTGCGATTGCTTACTCGTAGCAATTCTTTTATTTGATATTCTGGAACCATTATAAATGTGTAATCATAGTGCTAGCTGTGTAACAGCTAAGGGGAACAGGAGAATCGATACTGAACCGCCGTATACTCAAATCGTTTTGTGTAATATTAACGAATATGAGTTACCTGATAATACTGCATATCAAAATTCAGAAATACTTGTTCACTTCGTTTGACAGTAGACCTCGGAGTTCTTGTTTCGAGTAGTTAATTGTCATTAAGCGATTGCGGTACTATAGTATCCTAGTGAGGTGATTTTGTTATAGTCTTCGGTCTTCATCATGTTAAGCGTCTTTTTAGACAACTAATGTGATGGCAGATTCCTAAACCCAAATAGATACAGCAACAAGACACTTCCATAGTAACATGCAGTCATATATAGTGTTTAAACATATCTTGTCAACTACAGATCTCCAAGTGACATTCCCATTAGACGCAGCCCATCAGCATCATAAACATAGTACACCAACTGGCAAAGCAAACGGAAGGATTTATTAATATTATTTTTATCCTGACTATAATTATTATGAAACTCACCCATGTCTTTGGATTCTGATTATTCAATATTTTGTTGCATATACAATCAGTGGTGGTAAAAAGTATAAATCTAATAGAAACCTCACAATTCGCATAGTGTCAGAACCGATTCTTTGATACACATGGCACTGATGGCTTGGTCAATCAGTTGATACAATATAGATCCAAAGTTAATTCAGACAAATACTCGGCAGTCTCCTCAAGGTAGAAAATTAGATCCAGATAACTATTGTGTCCTAGTTTACATTAGTTGTAGTGCATGTCGATTGTGCAGTATGTATTTGTTAGTGACCGATCTTCAAATAAACTCTCATTGCTGAAACATTCAAGTGTTAGTATAGTCTGTTACTGAACCATAATGGCTAATGAGGATTATATTTGATTAGCTTTTTGTACTATTCCAACTGGTTAGCTGGGTTTGAATGCTTATATATACGAAAATACGCAGTGCATGCGAGCACGAATCGACGGACTGATAGAATAACCAATTTACGAAAGTAAAAATTAGCAGGGAAAGATATGTAAAGTATCGCTAACAACAGGTTACGTTTCTTTCGTTGGTCTCACAACTGTGGGATGAAGGTCAGGCCACCAATAGCATACTTAACCCCGCTATGAAAATAACAGGCTTATTCCATAAATTTAGACTTAAGGGGGACATTTGATATATGACAGTCGCACTTATACAAATTGAATGATTTCGTAGCAACAGTATTTGTTTGATACTGTTGGTTGGGAATGCATACACTCTTGCTGAATAGGATGTGCTAAAAGCCCAGATTTACTCGAGCGATTTCAGCAAGGTCTAATCTACCGATATTACTCCGCTGAGATATCATTTATTAGACTACTTCTAGTTAGCAAAGAAGCTCGTTGACCCTACGATTAATAAGTCGTCGGGTTCTGAGTAGTAACATTTACTCGAAGATATTATTTCAAAACAACATAGGATGCTGCACAAAATACCCCTTCCTAAGCTCAACACATCAGGTATTCTAAGAATGATATAGGTACTCATATATATGAAGTATGGAAAGAGACAGATCTTCTCTGACGCTAAGTCTGTTACCATTAGCACCGCTAGGTGCTGATGCATTGGTCAAGAGGTTTAGGCGTTCGTTTGTGAGATCGAGGTACTAGGTTTGATTTACACCTCCGAGAATGCGGATACGCACCAATGAATAGTCTCATACTGGGGCGTTCTGTGCTTTGAGGTTTGCAATCGGTTAATGATTTCAAGAAAACTCTACAATTTCCTTAACCCTATGCTATAGTAACTGTCAGAAAACAGGGATATTTACAGTGTTTCATATACACTGAAAACTGTTAAAATTCACCTATCTAGCAAACTAGAAAGTTATATAGACTTCCAGTCACATCATGCACCACTGGCGTTGGACCTCATCCATACTTTTGCATCTCAGCAGCCAGCTTACGTCCTATTAAGAATATTATCACACTTGAGCGTGTTCAATGAGTGTAGGAACTAAGTTAATGACAGACCTTCCCAAACTTTTATGTAGAGCTTTTATGACGCCTAAGCCTTCTGCCCTTATCGTAGAATGCTAGTTGACCTATTATTCATATTATTGATCCAAAAATATTTAGGCGTTGATAAATTCTGCCTTTGCTCTCTATAAACGATTGGCTCAGACCATTACCCTGTTCATTGACTGAAATGAGCTTCCTGAATAAGTAGTATGAGTTCTATCGGTAAAAACTTTCAACATACTAGATGGATCTCTTCTTATAAACACAGATTATCGGTTAAAACAGGTCAAATGAACTACTAACGAGAGAACTGATGCTTGTTTATCTATTTCATCGCCAATAATGTCATAGTGACACCCTTGATACATTTCAATAACTGTACATTAGGCGAAAATTACATAATATGTCTTAGATTCATCTTTTGACTAGAAATTCAAAATGTCTGAAGAAGGAAAGGGTGTCTTTTATGAAATAAAACAAAAAGGATATTATACTGATCAGTACACTGCAAATCTACCACGACACTATGATGTACGACTTGATTTAGTTTACGACTTAATTTTAGTTTCAAAACCTTGCTGCAAGTCTAAATGGGCATATAATTAGCCAAAGCAAAGCAGAATGCTACCTCCCGCATGGTATAATACGGTTCTTTGCCTCAAATTATTTTTAGCTGCATTAAATATTAATGAACCTATTATGAATTGTACTGAAATTCATGGGCCCACTAGTGAAATAAACCTGCCTGTGGTAATTAGTCTTTTATTTCTTTCTAAATAGTAAAGGACTTCCCACTTAGATCCTATGATCCGAAGGTTCAAGTTCCTTTTTACACACCACCTACACATTGTCCCAGAAAGCTGCACATTGAGAGGTAAGAAGCTGGTCAGTAGACATCTTTAAAAAAAATTGCAGAAAGAAGAGAAAATTTCAAAGTGCTTCCATTACCGAGATATTGGAACATGATTACCATATTCAGACAAATGAGCTTTTACCGAGGATCTGCGAAAGCTTCATAGTTGATAAGAACGAGCGAACGTCATACTTACCTCTCGAATATTTTGATGATGATCAATATGACTGTCGTGCTCCATCAGACTGGCTCGCAATGGGAATGGATGAAGGGGTGAGAAAACCAGTCCCAGCCATCTGTTTGCTTCCTGTTGATGATCACCAGCACAGACGTATGTAGAAAAAACATTCCCTATAAGAATTGCTAAGTTTACACGTTGCCGGAAAAAAGAAATAAATTTTACCATTCTTGTGTCATTTTGCTTGCTCAAATCACCATTGTTTTTAGCATTCGGCGTTTAAGTTACTTCACTGTAGTTTTAGTCTTATGCGTAATGAAATTTTTTACCGTTTCGCTTAACAACTGACAAAGGTGCGGGTTTCCAACTCCTACTGTAATTTCCTTGTATCTTTCTAGTCAGAAAAGGCATAAAAACGTTACGCTTTGCAGACAGTTAGATTAAATTTTGTGTTATTGTAGTTAGTTCTCTAAAAACACAACATTTTACCCATTGACAAGTAACCATATGTCATGTATCTAAAAAGTTCTGGTTTGACATAAATGTGATACCAATCTTTTTCTCAGTTATCAAGAATCGTTAGTTAGTATTCTAAAACTAATAAACATCCATAAAATTTACAGGTAATTCGCTTTAAATGTTGAGATAATATAGCCTTTTCGTTTAAATAATATATTCCTTTTAGAAATTCAATTTCGGTTTTATTGACATAGGTACTAATAGTAACTAAATTCCATTAGATGTGAAATATTTAAAAAAGTAAATGTGGTATACAGCCTTACAAAAAAGAAAGACATGAATAGCCTAACTGTTTGCAACTAGTTATGCAGAGTGGCTTGAAGAACAAAGTTAAGCAATTTTATAAAAAGGTTACTTCCATGAATGGTAGAAAACCTAGCTACACTTTGAATACGTGTTGAGTACAAACTGATAGAATCAGTTACAAGTTAATGGACCTAAGTCTTTTTACTTCCCTCTATCAACAAGATTGTGAAAAATCCCATACTTCTAAGTTTCACCATAAACGTTTAACTATTATTATTTCTCCCCAATTAGTGGACATTCGTGACCCTGAAATTGAATGGAGTTGGCAACTAGCTGGAGTATTAGATTATGACGTTTCTTCCAAATTGTGGTTCGTTCAAAAAGTTGACTCCAGTGGACGAATTGTAGATGAGAATGGAAAACCAGTGGTAAATGTTGGTTTGTTACCCCGTGAAAAACCTTTGGATTTGCAAACTCAATATTGGATACCTCGCATACAAGTTATGTTTCTTGCTGAAGATCCGCAAATCTTTGCTAGACGTGTAGCAACTGCTTTCAAAAGTCGTCAAGAACATGAATCGGCCTTGAGATATAACTTGTGTCTAGACTGTATGCCAAACGAACGTATCGGAGAACTAAGCAGTGTTGCCCTTAGAAGAATGACATTTCTTGCCAAAGATGACACGTGTTCAGTCAAAAGTAGCAAACGGTAGGTTGTGGTTTAAAGGTAGCGTCATCTTAATTTTATACCCACTCTTGAAGGATTGATAGTGTGTTACAGAATCTTGAGAAAGAAGTTACATTTGATTACTGGAGAAGCATGAATGATTTAGTTTTACGCCAAGTGATCGAAAATCAAAAAACGAAATATTCTTTCATTCAACCTCCTGAGCTTAAAAGGCGCAAAACTCCATGGAAAGGTAACTTTACTTGTTTATATTTTTGACTCTGAGCACTAATCACGGTAGTTTTATTACCTTTTTGGTTGTTGGTTTTACTCATATTTTGAGTATAGCGCAAAAACCAGCCAAACAAGTAAATTATTTCTTACTATATTTATATATAGGCTACGAAAACAAAGGGACAATTAGAAGAGCAAGGGTGTACCTGGTTCTAATGAACTTAATATCTCACATAGTGTGACAGAAATTGTTAAGGAGATATTAGACCATAGATAAAAATGGCCTATTGTTGTTTGACCCATTTTGGCATTTAGACAGGCATTTTCATTAAATGATTATACCGTGAATATATCGACCGCGAAATTTCGTAGAAGAACGTTTTTATTATAAAACTAGATAATATACGAACTCTATACAGCACACTTATTCAAACAACTCGGTTGATTTTATGTCATTGCTGTGAACAAAAGTAATTAATTCAGAATAAATACTATCAACTTTGTTAGCAACAACAAGTTATTTCTTTTGATTAGAAACAACATACACCTATCTAACCAGTTTGGTAGAAAACGGATTGGTTATAGTAGAAATGGCGTACTCTAATGCTACAAAATTTGTTCAAACAAAAAATCCAACCGTAGAACTTGGTGCGTGCATATATCAGTTCAGGTTTCTATACCACATTAGTAGTGGAACAGATTAAGGACTGAAGAATAGATTTAAGAAAATATAATCCAGTGAAATAAATTTGAAAAGAAAAACGGTCATCAGGAATTCTGAAGCTTATAATTTGGAGGAAAGGCAAACAACAGACGCAGTTAACGCCAGATTTTGAGCCATGTCATTCAAAGTCGCTAGCCTCGGGTTAAAGTAGTCATGTGGATACCAAACAGATGCTTTACACTCGTTAGAATGGCTCACTGATATTGCGAATGACTTTGTGTTATCTTCTTGTTTGGCCGCCCTTAGCTTTCTCCCAGCCTAATCCTACGCCGGACAGCTTTGCCCGACGAGGCTGTTGGTGGTTGACCGTATTTTCGAAAACCTGAGGACAATTAAGAGGCAATTTTAGCTCAAACAATTTTGTTGCCATTGAATGGTTTAAAAGTGGTGAATAAAATTAGGATTTAAATATTTAGTTAACCAGTTAGTTCGATAGTAATAGAATTATACGAATCAGTCCGACATAATTAAACAGGGAATGTGAGAAAATTATGCATCGATTCAAGTTGCCAGACTACATATCGTCGAAACAGTATGAAATAATGGGAAGATAAGTTTAACGATTAACATTGGTAATGACTAAAACTACACAAAAACCGTGTTTCAGAAAAAAAAACAAATGAAATTGGGGTAGTGAACGGTATGATCACCATCACCCCAAACGTTATTAGTTCTGAGCTTTGCAGAGACAAATAACTATTTCAATATGTAAACTTCAATCAAAAATTCTATTTCATTAAATAAAACCTAGGTCGGAAGTTCTCATTTCAACAAATTGATAACATTTCCCAGGCAATCTATTCCTAAGTGCATTTTGTACCCTAAGTTTATCTCAGGGCGTCGGATACTAGCATGTATGATCTTAGCGTAAGACAGATCAAATCTAAGAGTAATCTAGGGAAAGTAGATCAGTTTGCTTGTTCAAAAAATAAATTATTGGCTTTTAAATGATACGAAAGGTCCTATATCAGATAATCATACTTGAATAAGTGTGTTTTTTGTAGAATGTGGATATGTGTAAATATGGGAGAAGTTTTGAATTTTCTCCTTTTAAATATTCAGAAATGAAGTTTGATCAATCTTAACTGAAAAAAGCCTTTGAAAATTAGCTGTGTCGAATTAATCTATTCATAAGACTATTTAAAATTTAGTTCTGAATACCAAGATTGATCGAGACCCGTTCTATGGCAATCCGAAAATTGTGTGTATTGATCGAGTCATAAGTTATCTAGCTAAAGTAGATGGCACTTTTTTGAAGTAAAAGGTTCGAGTCCCATTGTAAATGTTAAGTCGGAGTCCTAGTACATGCAGCCGGTGAGTACATAAAGGGATGAAAAGAATATTCTTTCATGGTTAGAATATATTTATTCTAAAGATTCAAATAATCTTCTATTTCAGTCTACATACTCATTAGATGATTATATTTCAAATAGAATGTCTATCCATTGTTGTGAACTGTATTGTTTTGTAAAAAGACCAGATAAATTAATCATTGAGAAATCATCATATGCTTCAGTAATAATGTGAATAAACATACCATTAGGTCATTCACTATTTTTATAATGTTAATATGTTTATCTGTTTTCAACATCAACAGGTACCCTAGATATACCTTTATATGACTTCGACAACATATTTCAAAGCTTTTCTTCCAAGTCAATGTTAACCAAACCAGAGGCAGTTATGGCAATATGTAAATGCCAGTATGAATGTTTAGAAGTACGCTCGAAATCAATTTTCCATGTTTCACTATTAAAACATATGAGAATTGAAGAATTCGAACAAACGCAGTCAATGGTTATTTCACAAGTATCAGTATTTTTAAAAGTGAGCTTACGAATTTCAAAATAAAAACATAAATTATTTCGCTGTATCATTAAACTTCAGTGACCCGGATTTCGACTCAAATTCGGATAAACAATTAAACATGCTATGGCATAAGTCTTCCCTTTGATTTCCGTATATATGGTCAGACAAAAATAGTTTAGACATATGATAAATATGTAAGCAACGTACTCACAGGCTTGACTAAAACACAACCACAGTTATGTGCGGATAAATGACAAGGTCAAAAGATGTGGGAATAGTAACTGGAGTGTAATAGATTAATTGGTTTGTCCAAAGGTTGGGACAATCCATGTGGGCTTGACCAATTATTAGTACACACTACAAAACTATCATATTTACTTGATGCCGATTGAAAGGATGTAGATTAATCCACTTTTCTTTATGAAATTTATGATGATTTTAATTGAATTTATTTATAACTGCCCATTATGGATATGTTCTGAGTAGTCACAGTCGAAATACTCTATGAAAACAAGTGAAGTAGTAAAAGTTTAGATATAAATAAGATCTTCCGAGAAATCATAGTACAGTATGAATGAAAAAGTAACAAAATGTTTTGGGAAATGAACATTTAAGGTATAAGGATACTTTACACATAACCGCGGGATTCCAAATGAGGACTTTCGTCTCACGCGCAAACGCCTAACCTCTGCATTACCGGGCAGGCATCCAACATAGCTAATGTCTAACTCTGATTACAGTTTCTTAATTTCCATGGTTAAGGACTATTAGATCAAATGAAAGTTTTGCAAATCCCAAAACTATTAAAGTTATTTCAGGTGAAAGAAATAACAGGAAGTTAATAAAATTAAGGAAATTATTAAAATAATAAATATCACTTACTTGAAAACTTGATATAAGCGGCATTTTGTTGACTACATTACACTTGAGAATTCAGTTTTATGATGTGTTATTATGAGTGATAAATTCTTACATATTGTGACATATTCCACGTCCATAAAGTCGGCATAAACTATTCAACCTAAAAAAAAAGTACAACACAACCAAAAGAACCACTCGAGTTATAAAACAGAGAAAAATTTTCCCAATCTATGAAACAATTAATGAGATTAGAACAACACATATAAGCGAACAATATTGTTTTCGATTAGATCGTCATCAGGCTTTACTTTAATATATACATGAAAATGTTATATATGAAAATGTTAAACCAATCAAGGCAATTTGAGTCAATAATCACAATGAAATGAGATAGATTAAGTCATTACACATATTAAGCAGAAGTACAAGTTGATAGTAGGAAGATAGGTGTACTGATAGTAGTAAGAAAATTATAAAATACGTACGTAACTGACGTTAAAAAAAATTTTATTTTGTCATTATTAGCATTATTTACACATCCTGTAGTTGTTGGCAATTTTTTGCCTCTTTCCGTTTATATTCTTCACTATATCTAATTGTGTACACGCTTCTTATTATGTCATGGTTTTAATGTTTTGTAATGATTATTTTAAGTCTATTTATCCACGTTCGACCTACTATTGATAAAATTTTTGTTATCGTATTTTATATTTGACATAACAGTACACCTATCTTCCTACTATCAACTTGTACTTTTGCCTACTATATCTAGTGACGTAATCTATTTCATTTCATTGTGATGATTGACTCAAAAATTGCCTTGATTGGTTTAAAATTTTCATATATAACATTTTCATGTATATTAGAGTAAAGCCTGATGACGATCTAATCGAAAATAATATTGTTCGTTTATATGTGTTGGCCTAATTTTCACAATAGGAATTAATGAGATATGAAGCATGAATTTCTTATTAGAACTAACCGTTAAGTGTTTTATTAATATATTATCACTAGTAAAAACAAATATGCTGTTTGTCTTTCATATTTCTATTTTTACAGGATGCATGGATTGAAAATCTACGTAAATATATTCGTTCATGTTTTTGTGATATTGGTAAAGGATGGTTTAATATATATGAAACAGATTTTTATGTATACACTCAGTCGAAATTGAAGAAATTTATGGAAATGATGAAATTTTGCATGCAAGATGGATTAAGATTTTTAATAATGGAATCATTAGTAAATTTTACAAACATGCTACGTGATTCTTGTATTGCCTGTTTGGATATTCCAAATGACTATGAATGGAGTAATGATCTTATGACAAGTAGTCTACCGTATGTTTGATTGTTTTATGTTTATATTCGAGTGCGTAACTTTTTTCTGTCACTATCAAATATGTCTCATAAGTGAACTAAAAAAAAGAGAAAACATGAATAGTTGAAAAATTCAACTTTAATTATGTTCTATTGCTGAATTGCTACTTTGTTAGCTAAAATGGGAAGTACACATTCACGTAATGTTAATGAAATAGAAAAGTCCTTTACAATAAGCCGTTTATTGATCAACTCAAGAATGATTGTGCATAATATAAACCGAGATGTACCGTAGATCAATCAATAGGTCAGTCATAAATAATACCTAAGTGTATCAATCAACGTTGTAGTAACAGGCTGAAGTTACCATGGCAAATTCTGGACCAATAAAAATGTTAGTAATATTAATAGTGGTAGAAAATATAAGACATCGAGTTATCGTGATCATAAGTATGAGATAATTTCCGAAACTGAAGAAGTTATTGTCTGATATTGGCTGAAATGACGTTTTAGTTTGACCTCCCCTAGCTCTCTTCCAACGCATCATGACACTAGCCAATAATGAACATCTCAGTAGTTGGGTAGTTGGGTAGGTATTGATATATATTTTTAGCCATTTCAACAGATCAAGACTCACTATCTCACTAACTGATTCACCTTTTTTTAACCTGTTGCCCTGTATCTCACTCGGTGATATGAACATAGTCGAGCAATGCATCCAAGGTATCTGTGTTCAAATGTTGGTGATCTACAAAATATCCTTTATTTTTCAGTCTGTAGAAACAGACTACAATACAGTATACTCATCATTTGAATCTCAGGCTGACATAAAGAAAGCTCATATTTTTCAAAGACCAATGGTTTTAATACTACTACTAACAATATACTACTAACCAAAAAAATGTTCACAAAATAAATTACAATTGTAATATAATTAACGTGCATTATTTTATTTTACTACTAACATCCACTCTAAGTGTAATCATCATTTTGTTTTGCTTTTCATTCTAATCTTCACCTGTCATTCAAATTAGTCCAAAAAAGAATCCTCTATTTTTAGTGGATTTATTGTTGGATACAGATGGACCACATTATAGTACACCGACTGCACAATTTCCTAATATTCTTATTCAAATATTTGATAAAGCAATCAATTCAACACAAGATATACCACAAATTGAACAAGTAAATTAGTCTATTCAATCTGTTTACATTTTTTTTCTGTTAATTCAAATTAAATATTACACATTATTTCAATTAAACTGATACTTTTAATGGTAATACAAGCTTACAATGATTAAAGTATCAATGTTGTGCGGATTGTTATTTCTCGCTTTTATTTTATACAGTAAACTATGTAATCATTAGTTTATAAAATATTCAAAAGTTGGATATTAATTTTGATCTTAAAAATGGTACACTAGACATAAAGTCCATAACACCTTTTTTTGAGAAAATGAAATAGTTGAAATTTATAAGATTTATTCCAAAACTGTTAATTAACATGGGTTAGTAAAGTTTGATCGTCAAGTAATTGGTCTTTTCTAATTTAACTGCGAAATTTTTGAAGCTACTCTAAAACTCGATTGGTCATTTTAAAAATTACCTAAACTACCGACGATATACTCGATTTACAGAATGACAATTCTTTGATTTACTATTTATATAACATTAGTCATCACATGATAGTGTGTGAGCCTTTAGGTACATTTTGGAGGAATTATCTATCCAGCGAGCATCGTTTAAGATGATTATGTCTTCGTATGTAACATTTAGTCAGTTTAGCAATGCTTATTTCGACTTGCTCTGCTAGTTAATGACTGTGAAGATCTAAGTAAAACTAGATCAATAGATCAGATTAGTCATGTATGAAAACTGTTAAACTTGCTCAGAAAATGTCTTTGTTTTATTACTTAATCTTTGATTTTGATTTTCATCTGGAATTTAAATTTATACAAAAACTTTTTATTCAGTATGTTATAGAAGGTATAACATGGGCGGAGAAACAACTTTTGGAAGCTGTCGGACTACATGAACCACCGGTTTATGAAAAACTTCGTCAACAATGTACAGAATATATTAATTTCTGCTTTGATACCATTGAAAGCTTATGCCTAAACAATATGAACGTTTTATGGAGCTGATAATTTTGGATATACCTACACATATTAAAGTAAACTAACATTTTCATATTTGAATATTGTATGACTTTTGTAAATAAGTGTCCTGAATTTATTCATTATCACTTGAACAAACGAATCTGTTTCTCGTTCGTTTAACTCTTATTCAATACTTATTGGGCGGAGATTTGACCATAGCCCTATAATTGCATGGAACTAACGTACCGTAACCATATACATAATAAACCAAATCGGTTTCCGACTGATACGCCATAAGCCCAAGCATGACCAGTTAAGTGGAGACAAAAATCCTAAAGCGTCTTTACGTGAATAATAAAAGTGAGGGATAAAATACTAAGATAAGGTCGTTGGTGAGATTATTCAAGGGGGCACAAAATGTGAAAGAAAAGGCTTCTGACGACAAACCCACCGTAACCCTATGAGGATGCTGAAAGCGTGAGTTAATCACACAGCAATATATAAAAAACAGAGTGCAAGAACATCAAATGATTATAAAAGACACCGGGCAATCACTAAGTATGACTAATACGAGTGAGTGAGAGTAAGTGAAAATGAATAGATTTTTTGCAACTCATATCGAGTTATATGTATTCTCAAATACTTTTCCTGTTTTTATAATAAATTGAGACAACTCGGGAAATTATGTTGTGCATCTCACGAAAGTAAATCTGAAACAGACATGAAAACACTGTAACACACTTGTGATTATGACCCTATTCCACTAGATGACTCCTCACTAGAGAACATATGATACTAAGAAGTAACTTGTAGGACAACACGTTTTGTATAGTCTAGAGCACACACACAAAATTCAATACCAAACAGGTCACCAAACTATATGAACATAACCTTTGTTGTTATCCCAAACTGACCACGTAAGATAGAAGTGGCAGCACCTAAGTTGAAACATATATCAACAATGAAACTTATGCATGTTAAAATCTATGCAATTCCTTTTCAATGTTATAATGTACACTAGCACATAGTGTAATTCAAGTTACACACCAATGCGAGAAAGGATAGGGTGTGGAAATAGTGATGCTGTACGAAAAACACCGTCAAACTTTTAGGTGCTTATTGTAATTGTCGTTTTCTTTTAAATTATAAACCGTGTGAAAACCCGTATATGAACCTTCATAACGGAATCACTGATAAGTTGGCAATAAGATGGAGAGTCTGCAATATAGTGTTCTCTATACACGTGTTGCGTGCGTAACATTCACGATATGACACTAATGTTATACATATTCCCCGCACAAAGATTGTGATATGAGTTTCTATCCATTCATCACAAATCTGTACCTTTTAGAGGATCAAAGAAAAGATATTGGAGCTTATGAGGTTTCTATCCCCAGTGTGATCATTTATTTTACATGTACCAACAGGTATGCACACGCTCTAGACTGGTAAATTCAAATCCACAAGTCATGACAAAACATGAACTACCAGTGAGCACGTGAATCCTCTCTCTTTTCGCTAACACAAAAGGGAACTTATACCCAGTTGATATAAGCTTAGTAAAGTTTGACACGAGAAGATTGTCACATACTGGATGAAATGATTATGTACTAAGTTCTAAGTATTAGGGGGGGTACACAAAACATCCGTTGATGTAAATAATGTCACACTGTAAAATATAACAGCCACCAATATCTTATTTGACTATAAAGGTAAGACTGAGGAACATTAAAAATCTGGCATCATGAGTACAATCTTTG